GGGCGTTGTATGGGCTTTGCAGATTATGGGCTGCGGGGGCCTTAAAAGCCCAATCATTGTGACGACTTATAATTAGACCCTTAAACGTAGGCAGATCCAGGCCGCACTCATCGACGAGCCGGCGGCGGCGCAAACTCTGCTTCCGGCGAGGAGCCACCCGGGCAGCGCAGCGACTGGAGAGGCGGCGACCCCGCGCGGGACGCGACCAGGTTTGCCCCTCTGCTCAGCTCATCGACCCCAACTCCGGAACTTGGCCTGTCGATGGTGACTGAGTAGATAGATTTTCGGTGGACTCGCAGATCCCTCATGTCGTTCGCCGGTGTGTCGGTCGTCGACGGCGGCAAGCGCTGCACCTGCGACACGTCGGCAGTCTACGCCGGCGCGGACAGCGGGTACCACCTGCTTATGGTCAGGGACTACTCGCGTACCAAGCTTCAGTTGCCCACCGGCGAGAGCGCCACCACCGGCCTTTTCACGGTGGGAGAATATGATTGGTACATCGAGTACTACCCCAACGGAGAGAACCCAAACTGCCGGGACTTCGTTTCGCTCTACGTCACGAGGCATACCCTCTACGACTGCGACGGCGAAGAGGATGTGGAGGCCAAGTTCAGCTTCAGTCTCGTCGACCAGCTTGAGAAGCACAAGCCAGGGTACATTCATGGAACCAATAAAACTTGCACCTTCTCCAGCAGTGCTCCCTCCTGGGGCAGCGACAGATTTGTGAGAAGAGATGCCCTGGAACGATCGGCGGACCTAAAGGGTGACTGTCTCACCATCCGGTGCGACATCATGGTTGTTTGCAAGGATCACAAAATCGAGGATGCCGCTGGCACCATATCTGACATAAACCAGCATTTTGGCCACCTCCTTCAGAACAAGGTGGGTGCTGATGTGACATTTGAGGTCGGTGGCGAGACGTTCGCTGCACACCGGTGTGTGCTTGCAGCCCGGTCTAAAGTGTTCATGGCGCAGCTCTTTGGCCCCATGAAGGAGGGCGCCGCAACATCCAGCGTCATACAGATCAAAGACATGGAGGCAAAAGTGTTCAGGGCTTTGCTAAGCTTCATCTACACGGATTCACTCCCTGCGATGGAGAAGGACAGCATGGAGGAGGATGAAATGTCAGAAGTTATGGACGAAGGGCGAGAAGAAGCAGCAGAGTTTGAAATGTGGCTGCAATGGTTGGAAGATTTGTTTGTGGCGGCAGACAGATACGATCTCCAATTGCTCAAGTTAATCTGTGAAAAGCAGTTGTCTGAGCACATAAGTGTGAGCTCGGTGACGTCCACTCTTGCTCTAGCTGAGAAGCACCACTGCTGTGGATTGAAGGAGGCATGCTTGAAGTTTATCCAAGTGCAGTCTCCCTCGTGCTTGCAAACAGTAATGGCAACTAGTGGCTGGGATCATATAGCAGTGACCTATCCCTGGGTTGTGAAGGAGTTCATTGCCAAGCTTGCTTCGAATCAGCGCAAGTAACACTCTGTATAGGGGTAGGTGTGTTCCTTAGACCTGCAGCGGCGCTCTTATGCATATATGGATCCTCTTAAGAGTGGTCATAGTCGTGCGTCTTGTTTTTGTCTCAGTCATGTAATTTGCCCATATGCTGAATATCAACAAAAAAAATCCAACATATGGTCAAATTGTCTCTTCATTATTCTCAAAAAGAAAATGTATCTCTTCATGGAATGGATTAGTCTGTAAATTCAGGCGCAAGAACATATGGTGGATAGTGATATCACGTCTAACGCTCTGCCTGTTTCTTTTCCTTTTTTTCTTTTGGGAGAATTTTAAACGCGAGAACTATTCATCGGCATCAATCATCTACAGGCAGCTGGCATGCCCCTGTTTGTATATCCCCAACCGCCCCTGGTGTGTTATTCAAATTAATTTCACAAAATAAGTGTTTTAATTAAATTAAAAAATGAAGTACTTCTGCTCGTCTGTCTATACTATGTGGCTGATAGGCTACATTTCCGTGCCGGGGGGTGGGGGGGCATGTTTGATAGTATCTGGTAGCAGGTCCTTCTTTTGCTAACATGTGGTCTTTATGTCTACGTTATTCTGAATTCCATTTGCTGATAAAAAAATTGAGGGTATGAACTGAACTTTCTTGTTAGGAAAAAAAATTAATTATTGGAAAGGAACTGTTTGACCTGCCTTCATCACACTATAGTACCTGCCTTCCTGGCAAGGTAGGCATGGCCAGTTAAATTACTCGAAACAACATAGCACCAAGTAACCAACTGCTGTTGCCAGATGATTACAGGGAAGCTCTGGTTGACCTCAAGATTCTTTTCTGTTGTGTTCTGTTAAACGTGTACAACATGGTCAGGTACTCAGGCGTCGACCTCCATTCTGGTCCGGTCGGCAGCTATTGGATTTATCCATCTTTGTGGTTTGATCAATAGTTCATTGGTTCAGCTGACTATGGCCTACATGTTCCATCTGTATATTCCCTAATCACTTTCCAATGCCATTTGTCCGGAAAGTCACCCTTATCCACGTGCAAAAGCATCATCATGTAATAAAAGATGAAAACTGAGGTGAGATGCTCACTAGCTCTTGTCTGCCAGTAGACCACATGGTTTGATTAAAGGATGCATCCCATTGGTATTTTACTCATTTACTGTGACCACCGTGTTTCTATGCTTGCAGGGACCTTCATAAAATCCTGAGGCTATCTGTGGTCACTTTCAAGGGGCTTCTGCAAAATCTAATGTGAAGCGGCAATGTTTTTATTTATTTAACTGTGCATCTAATATGAAACAGCTTTCACTGTAAGTAAAACCAGCGATTTCATTAAAAAAAATGTGTCGATGCTTTTGTTGGACATTTTTTTTAATGCTAACTTCTGATTTTGTTCCCCAGTAGCCTGGATACTTGCCAGCTTGAGTTTCCTGTGAGTCTGATGTATCACCTGCTTCCCGTGCTGGGAGAGTTCTCTGCTTGGTGTTGAATTATTTACCAACAAAGGTACTCCCTCCGTCCCAAAATTCTTGTCTTAGATTTGCCTAGATACGGATGTATCTAATACTAAAACGTGACTTGATACATCCGTATTTAGACAAATCTAAGACAAGAATTTTGGGACGGAGGGAGTACATAGTTTATGCTTGTAGAGTTCTGGTTAGATGGTTAGTGTACCCAGTACCCTCTTTCTATTTCTGTTGGAGAGAAGTAGCCTCCTTTGTTGTAACTTCTAAGCAAAACAACAGCTAAAAAAAACTTTTAAGCAAAGGAACAAAATGTGGCTCTCTGTTGGGTGGCTATTAAATGCCAGTTGGAGCCCTCATGTGGTTCTGTTTTTTGAATTCTGTCTAGCTTATCTTTGAGAACATTATCGGGATACTTTCAACCGAAAACTAACTGATGTTAGAGGTATGCGCGTAAATCGTGCCAGTATTATATAGTAGTCTTGCTGTTTCGCATCTCAATCAAGAAATAAGTGCCATTTGTGAAGGGGGTCTGCTCATAGAGTCTATTTTGGACATATATGCATCGAAGGATACATGTATATTTGATCTCCACCAGGCGGCAGTCCATGCAGGCGATATTTAGTTTCTTATTGCAAAAAGATAACATATGGGCTGTTTATTAAAGAAAAAGAAACATGCAACCTACTCGTCTATATTATACACCAGTGCTGACCAGCGACCACCACGTGGAAGTTCATGGTCGATAGCTCTGCATTTCTAATAGATGGGTGATATGCAATATGCTGAACCAGAGAATTCTATATATGTCCAAAAGGAAAAAGGATTTGATGGAGCTTACCATTTAAAAGCGCCCTAGCGCTCTTTTCGCCATGTGAAGGGCAATTTTCGATATCTGGTTAGCTGATAGTACTTCTTTCCAATATTTTGCCTTTGCACCTTTGCTTGTTATTCTGAATTATGTCTGTGTAATGGTATTTTTGAGAGATTTTTTGTGTGATTGCTTGCGCCCCCGTCTGGTCATCTGGCATTGTGCTGATAGTTCCTTCCTGGCAATGTTATGGTGCTGCGCCCACGGCATGCGGTGGGCATGGTCAGCTAAAGTGCTTGAAACATCATAGCACATAGTAACCAACTACCATCGCCGCATGATTACATGGAAGCTCCCGTTGGCCTCAAGATTCTTTTTCTGTTTCCGTTCCTGGGGTTAAGTTGCTTTTTTTGTTGCTGAGAAAAACCTGGGGTTAAATTGCTGGTCCATTGCATGATGTGATGATGAGGCTCCCTCTTTTGGGTTGTGTCACAGTTTACTCATTCTGGGCCATCTGTGAGCTACTGATTAATCTGATCCGTTACAAAATTGTAGAAAAAACCAGAGCTCGTGGTTAATGTTTGACAGGGATCGCATGTCTAACAACTTGAAATGGAATGGATAACGAATTAATATTTCTACATTTCCAGGGGATGGGCATGTTTGATACTCCCTCTGTCCCAAAATATAAGATCATTTTTGACACTATCATAGCGTAAAAAATGATTTTACATTTTTGGACAGAGGGAGTAGTATCTGGTAGCAGGTCCTTAAACTGCTAACATCTGGTCTTTACGTCTACGTTATTCTCAATTCTGTTTGGTGATAGAAAAATTGAGGGTATGAACTGAACTTTCTTGTTAAGAATTTTTCTAATTATTGGAAAGGAACTTTTTGACCTGCCTTCATTGCGCTATAGTCCCTACCTTCCTGGCATGGTAGGCATGGCCAGTTAAGTTACTCGAAATAACGTAGCACCGAGTAACCAACTGCTGTTGCCAGATGATTACAGGGAAGCTCCGTTTGATCTGAAGGATTTTCTTTTCTGTTTGTATTCTGTAAAACGTATACAACATGGTCAGGTACTCAGGCATCAATTTCCATTCTGGTCTGGCAGCAGCTATTGGATTTATCCGTCTTTGTGGTTTGATCAATAGTTCATTGGCCTACATGTTCCATCGTTATATTCCCTAATCGCTTTCCAATGTCATTTGTCTGGAAAGTCACCCTTATCTACAGTGATTTTTCTATTTAACCATACAGCTAACATGAATTATTTCAGCCCTCGCTGCAAGTACCATTAGTAATTTCATAAGAAAAAAACTTGTTGATGCCTTTGTTGGACAATTTCAAATTTTAATGCTAATTTCTGATCTTGTAACCCATTAGCCTGGATACTTGTCAGCTTGGGTTTCCTGAGAGTCTGATGTATCACCTGCTACCGTGTTGGGAGCAAGAGTTCTCTGTTCAGCGTTGAATCTATCCTTGTAGAGTTCTGGTTAGATGGTTATTGTACCAAGCACCCTCCTTTTATTTCTGTTGGAGAGAAGTAGCCTGCTTTGTTGTAACTTCTAAGCAAAACAACAGCTCCAAAAAAAAAAAGAACTTCTAAGCGAAACAAACGAAATATGGCTCTCTGTTGTGTGGCTAATTAAATGCCACTTGGAGCCCTCATGTGGTTCTGTTTGTTGAATTCTGGCTAAGCTTATCTTTGAGAACATTGCCAGGATACTTTCAACTGAAAACTAACTGATGTTAGAGGTTTGAGCGTAAATCGTGCCAGTATTATATAGTAGTCTCGCTGTTTTACATCTCTATCAAGAAATAAGTGCCATTTGTGAAGGGGGTCTGCTCATAGAGTCTATTTCAGAGGTATATGCATCGAAGGATACGTGTCTATTTAATCTCCACCAGGTGGCATGCCCAGGCAGGCGCTATTTAGTTTCTTATGTTACAAAAAGATAACATATGGGCAGTTTATTAAAGAAGAAACATGCAATCTGCTCATCTGTATTATATGTCTGATACACCTGCGCTGAGCAATGGCCACCACGCTGAATGGAATGAATTCCTTCATGGTTGATAGTTGTACATTTCCAACAGACTCTGGGTATGGGCGTGCAATATTCTGGTATGTCCAAAAAGGATTTGATGGACCTTATCATTTGAAAGCGCCCTCTTTTCGCCTCGCGAAGCGCGGCTTTGGTTAGCTGGTCTGCTGATGGCACTTCTTTCTAATATTTGGCCCTTGCCTTTGATTGTTATTCTGAATTCTGTCTGTCCAAGAGCATATTTGACTGATTTTTGGGGGGATTGCCATCTGGTCATCTGGCAACATTGTGCTCACGGTTGCTTCGTTCATTACTGGCGGTGTGTTATGGTGCTGAGCACACGCGGCGGGCATGGTCAGCTAAATTGCTCGAAGCGCGATGATAGGATGAGGCGATCTTGTGGCTCGCCTTTGCTCATTCTGGGCCATCCGAGAGCTACTGATTGGTCTGATCCGCTTTATTACTGTACAAAATTGGAGGGAAAACAGAGCTCGTGGTTCATGTTTGGACAGCGATCGCACGTCTAACGACTCGGCCCGTTCGTGTCCGTTCATTTTCTTCTTGGAGGGGAATTTCGGAATGCTAAAACTATTCACTGGCGCGAGTCACCTACAGGCAGCCTTCACTCATTCTGGACCGTTTGCCGCGCAAACACGTCGTAACTGTTGAATATTCCGAACT